ACATCAAATCATGGAACGCCGGCTTTAACCGTCTCGAGGACAAGCGCCTAGTCCAACAACGATACGCCATGAGCAACGAGAAGACAGACGACATGAGCAAGCTGGCCCTGGGTGCTAAACTTGATCGCGCCCTCGGCCGACGCATGTCGGGCCAGGACGCCGTCTTCCGACCGAGAGCCATGAGCGAGAAGAAGGAGGTCCAGGCATAGACATGCACATACCAGACGAAACTCTGTTACTCTGCGCCTTGAACACACATACATACCACGATTCGATATCCCACACTGGCGGTTTCCAACCTACCGCCCAGCATTTCTTCGCCCCGATGTCGGCGTTTCTCAAGCATCTCGGTGCCAATACCTATACTACACCAGACACATGTTTTTTTTTTCGGGGGAGGGTTGAACATGTAAATGAATGCCACCGCATGATGCATGCAAACTGGCATTCCCATCTGTCGCTGGTTGCAGATTTGACTTAGCGCGGCATATACATCGGACACGGCGGACCATGGTTGCTGCCCGGTGCTACCGAGCCAGGACGTTATCACCAGGTTCGCAGGGCATTTGGTAGCATGGACAGGGGACTGGACGGGGAGACTGGGGCTCGACATTACACCTATGGCGTTATACCTTTTCTCCGCACTACTAATCTCTTTTTTCTTGTTTTCTTGTTTTCTCGCTTGTTTCCCCCTGTGTTCCCCGGGTGGTGTGGGGTCACGGCTATGTTTTCTTTGCCTTTTTATTACCATGTTTCTGGGGTTCTTCACCTTACGTACATGCACCTTGATATCAAATGAACAAACCGGCCGTCTCAACGCTCCTACCCTCACATGGTGGTGAATGTAATTTGAAGTAAGTGCATTCACTCGAACTAACTTTGTATGCATCATTAGGGAAACATAGCCCAAGGAAATAAAATCCTAATTCCCGTCCCAATCACTTGACATTTACAAATAAACTTTACTACCATCTTCCCATCTCCACTTTTAAAAAAAGCCACGCCGATCACCTTTTCCTTCCTAAACAACTCATTCCCAGCGCCTCGCCGCCCCTTCCCATTTCAGAATCCACTTTCCAAGCTTTCCCCCCGATCTCACCCTGTAGATCCCAAATTCAAACCAGATTCAATCCGAATTCAAATCCAATACACTCTACCACCTTAAGTGGCAATAAACGCTAACCACAACCCCATCTTTCTTTCTTTTTTGGAGGGGTAACTTGGGTAACCCCCTTCATCGCTACAAGTTTCCTTGAACGGTAAAGGTTTAATATTTGCATATATCGTAGCCTATGGCAAAAGAAAAGAAAAGACTAAGTCTGGTTGCTTTGAAAGGAGCTTGAATAAAAGGGCGAACGGGGGGTCAATATTTGGGTGGTTAGTGGGAAATTGTGGTGTTAGGATTGGTAAAAGGTATGTATGTATGTATGTGTGTATGTGTGGATCTGTGTTATATTCGCATTTTGTATATATGGTAAAGTTTTTTTTTTCAAACGGTTAATAGTCTTGAGGAAAGGAGATCTGAATACTGCTGAATAGACTTTGTACACAGCTCTTTCTTTGGTTCCCAAATTAAAGTTCTAGGCTATCGTTCTTTCCAGATCGGGTAGTTGCAAGCGTGTAGTGGAAATGGTTGGAGCTCGGGGGAAGTATTCCAGATTGACATGTGCTTCCCCCTCTGGGATCTGAGATCTTGAAACGCTTTGAAGGGTCTGCGGGCCGAGTTCAGCTCTTGAATGGATCGTGGCTGGATGCCGAATGGCCATGCTCACGCTATGATTTCTGTTGGGCGCCGCGAAGGTGGCATCATCTCACATCCAGCCCAAGTCGAATCTTGCGGACCAAACCCTCATCTTGTATATCTCACCCTCTTATTGAAACATGGCCAGAACTTCCACTCCCAATGCACCCATCTGTAACCCCCTTCTTCTTTCCTCCCCTTGACCATGTCTGGCCTCCATCTCCGTGAGCGATAGCCGCTTACCAGAATCGTCCGGTCTTCCTCCTCTCATTTGCCAACTCCAGCTGTTCCCGTATCCCCCTCAATTCACTCCTGTGATTCTGATGCATCTCCTCCAGCAACGTTGCGTGCTCCTTCTTTAGCTGGACAAACTCCTCTTCAAGCTTCTCGTGCCATGGATAGAGAACGAAGATTTGGAAGCATAGCGCAGACGATCCGATGACAAAGTTTGTCAAAGAAAAGGTTTTTGTTATCATCATTTCAACGTGCCGAAAAATCTCGGGCCGGTATAACAAGCGTTTGGATAGCGACTGGCAATCTGCCAATGTTGCAATGCGCAAGGAACAAAATGAATACGAGGTCTGTGGGGCCGTCGATGTATATTCAAAACAGTCCGAAAGTGCAGAGAGAATGAAAGTGGTCCAAGATGGCCCAGGAGAGGAACGTGTAACCCGCCAGGAAGGAGAAGAGAACCTCAAAAGATGAACGCGCGTGAGGAGAGAAAAAAAGGACAATAAGATTTAAAAACAGCCGAACTACCAAGAACTCTGATACTTAAAGTAGCTTACCGCTCTGAAAAAACAGCCCATTCATACAGTCACATGGAAAGCTGATCCCATACTTTCACGTTGTCCCGGGCTTCAAAGTGGCATGATGGGTTTCCCTTTTAGGCCAAAAAGGACTAAGGCCCGATGGAAAATCAGACCACAACACGAAACGAACGGCACCTGGACCGTAGGTGTGCTGCCGCGTCACCAGAGGTCGTGTGCCTCTTATTGTTAAAAACAACTCAGATTGATTGCGAATAGAGAGCTGGCACATGGACTGTGTGTTGCGGGTAAGGCTAGAGCCGGACACCTCGGGTACTATAAGAGCGTGCGGAAATGAGGGCTGTCATACAAGGGTGGCGACGACTAATGTAGCGTCTCGATACTGGGTCGTTGGCATCTTGCAAGCTTGTAGTCTACGTGAATGCCATTATAGCTCTGCACTGGAAGACGGTGATGAGTTGGCTGCTCGAGTATGCCAAATCAGATAAATGGTAGGAGTAAAGATCACGTGCCGGGCATCATCACTCTGGACCCTGAGACCATGCTTCCGACAGCCAAATCCTTCTGCGTCGAAGAAAAAAACAGCAACAATGATTTGGTGTTCTGCTTCTGAGATCTTGACAAGAAACGTGACATGTCACCATGAGTCAAGTTCCAAGAATCTGGTATGCGATCGATGCCAGGATAGGTAGATCCTTTTGAAAGGTACCCACCCAAGGCGATATACTTAGTACGGTTCCAAGACATATATAATACTAGACTAGCAACCCTAGTATACAAGACTACAACACTTCGTCAGTATAAAATATGGCTAGAGATGCGAGCGTATAGGACACGAGTATAGCTTTATTGTATACTGTATAATGTCCGTATACTAGACGGTATAGTATACTCAGCCCTCTCACCTCGGATACGTACGGACTTTAGACAGCCCTATCATGGTCCGAATATCATCTTATCGCGCGCAACAAGAACAGTAACACCTCTGCACGACTCCGCGACTCGTAGGCTAAGCACGTATATGCCCACCCCTCTTCTCACTCCCGCGCCCAACACCATGCCCCTCCACACCTCATCCTCACATGCGCTGCAAAGCCCACAAAACATGAACTGCAACACAAACACACTACCAAAACTCTCCACAAACCCGGGAAACCGTACATGCTTACTTATGTTACATCCAACCCCCCTCCCCCTTCTGATCTGGTAGGTAAAGCGTCCCACGTATTCCCGAATATTAAAACAGGCGGTCCGGTACGGGAAGGAATCGCTTACTGTGTACACGCCGATTATGCTTATATGACACTGGTGCTTACATTGCCGAAGGAAAGAATCCGAGTGAGGAGGGGGTTTATATCCGAGGTCGGACTCGGGGATGGAGAGGACACGGTCCATCAAGTAAGCGCAGCGGGTAAAGGTACGGCAGTGGAAAAGTGGCTTGGTAGGGCTGGGATGTTTGTAGAGTGGAGTATCTGCCGAGTCCCTGAGTTTGCGTGCTGTTGCGCTTGGTGATAAGCATGCACTTTGGTGAAGCGGTATTCGGAGTGTTGTTTTTTGAATATGTGGTGGATTGTTTGCTTCTCATCTGAATAGGTAACATGAGAAAGACTCGTTTCTCATCCCTTTTGTCGGATATGGATCTGATCAGAAGTTATGTGGTATAGGCTGCTTTACTTCACGCAAATAAGGTTTCTGTAGCCGCTCGACCGGATACTTGGGGACTATATACATGTATTTGGAATCATTTTGATCCCTGACATGAGTAATTCCAGACTCGATAAGCAACTCATGCAGTGTCAGCAAGTCTCTCTGCACAAGGCCGGCGGCTTACCAATTGGTAGGAGCACCTGCTATGTAGCTTTCCGGCTTCACCAAGGACCCGTAGGTTAAGGTGTTTTGATGCACCCATGTATGTAAAATGTACCATGGCGTATATTAACGGATGGAAATGTCAAGGCTGTATGCATCACTGTCACTTCCAACTGGCCAATCGAACAGAAACCAACGGACCTTTTCTTAGCGAAGGTTTTTCGAACCCCAATCTTACCAAGATATCCAACCTGGGCCGATTTTCCTCTTTCCCGGACTGCACTTCCAAAATCCCCCCGAGAATGCCTCACGTAACTCTATGTGCTGATTGGGGTGTTCATGTCACTTGCCCAGGCTGGTATAACATGGTTGTCATTGTGAAAAGAATCACAGAGGCTACAGTGAGGTTTGGTAATATTTTAAGTTCACCGGGTTTTGGAAATTGATACAATGATGTCCCCGTTCAGTGCGAATCCCTCGACTCCTTGTGCCAAAATTGGCACTCTAACGCGGGAAGGAAGAGATGATTTGAAGTCCAGATCCAGCAAATATCACGTATGACTGTGTTACACCGGTTTTTTTTTCAATTAAAATAGTGATATCCAACTGGTCGGCACGATTGAGTCATATATCAAACTCCAGAGCATCATTCCCTGTCCCTCTCGTCTCTGGTTCCAATCATGGCAAGGAGCTTTCAAAACCGTACGTGTAGGAGGGCATTTTGACCGAATTACTGAACAAATTTACTTGGTGACTACTGCATATTACCTATACTAACAACCAGGACATCACAAAGATGAGAAGTATTTCCTGGTCTCGAAACCCATCTCACGCCTATGGGACTTCAGCGGCTATACGCAATACAATTACAGTGGGCCATCTCTTCGAAAATATCTAATTACCAAGCCAACTCAGAGGTCAACAAAGTGCCGCTGAAGAATTGGGAGCAGCAACATGGCCCTATTAAGAATAAGGATATGGATTTCACTAACCGTGTGACATGAAATCTGAACGACTCCCTGACACCCAACAACAACGCGAAGTACTACATCCATGGCCATGACCTGCTTTCCAACAACACCAATCAGTCATCTGCGGCTGAAGACGTGATCATAGCCATTGACATCACGTGCAGCTCAGCATGTGGCATTTCAGCTAACCCAATACGAAAGCGCGCTGGCATTACGATGGCCGCGCTTGGAGGCCAACCGCAGAAGAACACGAAGCAGGCCAGATGTGGCACCACGAGGACTGACTACTTCGATTGGGGGGCGACATCCGCGACATGGCAAGACATGTCATCGCCAACCTGACGAGCACGCCCGATGAAAGCCGCTCGTCTCGATAACACGGAGTAACACGAAGCTCGATACGAGCGCGGCTGGGAAGTCTTGTCGCCGAGAGTACTTGGTTGGACAGGAACCTTTTTTATCATTGGTAGTGTTACATTGTACTATCCGGCTATCCGTAGCCGGCGACCTCAGGTTTGAGGAGAAAAGGATCAACGAACGAGGTGGAGCGATGGGAAAGGGGGGGGGGCTTCACTCAAGATTTACTGATTTACCTGCTTTGATACACACGAAACTTACACTTTTTTCCTTTTGCTCTTCTGGGCTTTGGGACATCTAGTTTGACGCAGTACAACTACCTTGTATAGTAATCATAATCCATACTCCAAGAAGAAGAAGAAGAAGAAGAAGAAGAAGAAGCTGCGATGTCACACTACTTCCAAGTCTTGACCATATTAACCTGTTTTTTATGCCTACAAACCTCGTATCGCGCTCTCTCTCTCTCTCTTGCTTCCCTTAGGCAGTTTTATTCTCGATTCCCCGATACAATCCACCATCATCATCTCCTCCTGACTCGCCCGCATGACACCACACATGCACATACACAAAGCCGACTCCGTATCAACTCGCTAGCAAACCAACCAAACCCTTCCCCTCGTCATTCTGCATCACGAATCCACCTTCCCAATTACCCCCATCTCGATGCAACGAAATCTCGATTCCACTAAAAAAGAAGAGAGAGCGGAAGAGAAAGAAAAAACGACTAAAAGCAATCTTCGATGTCCAAAAAAAAAGCTAAAAGTTGAGAGAGTCTCCTAGTATACCGTAGACAATAGTTTTGTTACTCTACTAACCCCCAACAACAACAAGCGCGCCGCGTCGCGCCCCTTCCCCCTTCCTCTCTTCCTCACCTCGTATACCCAAACCCTACCGCACTCATCGGCCGATGCCCGGTAGTTCAGCAACCACCGCACACCAACTTACAACATACATATCACTCGCAAAGAAAGAGAAGAGAAGAGAAAAAAAACGCACCTCGGCACATGATCTCTCCTTCCATCCTTTCTCTCCGCGCAAGTGGTGCCAAGCCCCTAAACCCGTCCATTGATCACTAAACATAATAATAAGATAGGTCAAGTAGATTAGGGAAGAATAAAAATCTCCCGATGCCCTGCATGAAGCACTGACACTATTAAGCTATGGGGGTTGGGGGTTGGGCAACTTTTTTTAAGCGTTGCATCTAACGCTTCATATTACGACCGCGACCCCCACTCTTGTTTATGCACGGCATCTGGGTTTACTCGATAACTTGGGAGCTACTGGATTTGGTATGTATTTCGGGTGGAGTGGGAGGGGAGGGGAGATACGATGGGTAAGGTAGGCGGGTAGATGTTGTTAGACACGTGCGTAGGTGCGTGCGTGTGTGGGTACAGTAGGCTCGGGAAAGCGGAGTTAATGTGTCCCCATACATAGGTCCTTTGTTTTTTCTTGCTTAAGAAGTTGTTGCATAAACAATGCGTGATGCATATGAAGACTTTGATCGCGACGTGAAGATAAAAAAATGCGGATGGTATGCTATGGGCTCAGAAACAAAAAAAAACTGGATTTACTCGGGGCAGCAATGTGTTGGGCAAGGCTAAGAGGAGAGGTTTACGGGTTGCTGGGTAAAGCGGCCGGATGTAGCGCGTAGAATTAAATAATAGAAGGATCGTTACTTTTTCTCTTGTCTTGTTCTTGCGACATCGTGTGGATTACTCAACATGGTAGTGCGAGGGGGAGAAGGTGAGGTGAGGACAGATGCGGAAATAGAAGGGCCCAGACCGGTGTGGAGACTTGTCGTTTGCGGAAAAAAAGAGAGTCAGGTTCATGCGGGATGCGTAGCGCAAGGGCAAAACAAGGGAAAGAAGCAAGGCCGTTTTTTTCTTGCTTGCAGCCTGGTTTTTTTTTTCTTGCGTAACTTGGTCGCTAGAGCAGATCTGATCTAGAGAACTGGGGAGCTAGCGAACTTGGCCTTATCTAAACTCCGGCGAGTTGAGGCGTTTGTGAAGTGGTTTGAGGAGCTGAATGGTGTGTTCTCGACGTGCATCGTACCGCATGCTAGAGAGCGAATAAGGTTGGTGGGAGCAGCTTACATCTAGGGTTGGTGAGAAAGAAAACATAATGGCAACGCGGGCTGTTTGAAGGAAGCGTAGTGATTTTTTTTACTTTACCCGGGGTGCTGGGACCTGTTCGTCATCGTCGATGGCAGATGGTTGTGCATCGGCACGGGTTGGTTCCCGTTGCAGATCAAGACGGAAGCGTGGATGCGGCGGTTTGACCTTTACGACCATGATGCCTGTCCATCTCGATTGCCCTTTTAAAATCGGCAGAAAGAAAAAGACGGAAGACGCCCAAAAACAGTAGTCAAACAGCGGCAGGGCAGGTGGGAAAAAAAGGTGCGCACGGACGGCGGGAAATAAGATGCATCCACATCGGACACGGGAGATCTTCGATGGCCGCCTGACATCGTCGATGTGTCAAAGACGGAGACTGTGCGCGGGGTCACCAACGCCAAGAGGGTTTGGGGAAAGGCCCCAACTGTCATGATTTGGAGGAAAAGGCATTGGACGGGTGACGCGATAGGGCTGCGCGTTTGCGTGCTTGTTAGTCAAGTGAGGCGACAATGCGTACACTCGGCAATGATGTGATTTGGCGACCGAGGGAAATGTCACTGCAGGCTCCGACACAATTGAGATCCCATGACGGCACATGTCGCAAGCGCCGCGCGAGGAGAGAAGAAAAGAGTGAGGTAGAAATGACAGCGGAGGGATGATACCTGTTGAGCCCAGGAAACTTCATCGCAAGATCTCGACACATGCGAAACACACTTGTGTGGTTGTGTTTCCCCTCTTCTCGCCATCGTTATCCCCGCACGCGTAACCAAAGTTGTGGGCATTAGCGGATCGATAAACAGGATCTCGATAACCTAATAAGGTTTTATTTTTGGGGAACACCAGTAGACAAAGCTCCCGCACACGCATATACCAAACTGGCCCAGCGAACCTTGTTGCAACGAAGTTTGTCTGGAGAGAGGGGCAGGCAGCCAACGATGCGCTGCGGAGAGGCATCTGACACCAACATTGGACACTGGATGCCTTTGTCCTGGTTGGGCAGTTTGATTGCGATCCCGCGATCTCTGGCTCAAAGTCCGGGTCAGCAAAAAGCCTGCATATTGGATGTGCATGTGTATGTGTGTGTGCGTGGTGGGCGTGCGTGAGCAAGCGAGTGGGAGGGGGTCAAGAAAAGATGGGTAGTTGATTAAACACGGCTCCCAATCTGCACCAGAATCAGCCCGTCACGCGAAAGGGCAAAGGCTTTTGTCGATTGCAGGGCAAGCGGGACGATGATGGTGGCGTCGCATGCGCACAAACACCCCACTCTTTTTTCTTCATCTCTTTCTTCTCTTGTCGATGGAAGCAAAAGGGTGTCAGGATCGGGATGGGGATCGGATTTTGCACAATTGCCATACCCACAATTAATCTGGGCGGGCGATCTCATCAGGCCAATTACGTGCATATGGAAAGGGCGATTGCGCTTAGCGAACGCCACCTTGGAAGAAGGGACGTGTTATGTAAGTTGACTTTTGCGCGTGCTCCGTGCCATCATCCCCCCTTCGCCGTCTACACCGGCGACCAAGATAACTGCCTGCTACCACTACCGCGCCCTGCTCAAAGTCTAACGTTCCGGCACAACAAAGACGTGGTAGTGCGATCAGCGGCGAGCATTGTACATCGGCGATGAAAGATGCAACACGGAGGTGCGACTCTAGACTGTAGCAGGCAAACATCTACACGCCCTGCACGGCAACCTGTGTACGTACGTACGTATGTACGCCATTACAATTGATGAGGGACTGGGCGCGGAGAATAGAGTGAGATCAACGTGGGGCCCTATGACGGGAGTTGGACGCCAGACGCCGACCGGTGGGTTGCGCGGGGGCGAAGAATGTTTTACAATGCCTTCATTCTGACGTGCCTGATGGCATTCAATATTGCGCGTCCATCTGAAGTCGTCGTAGCCATCGTGAATCTTTGTCGTCGCTGCACACTGCTTGCGTCAATTCCAGCGGCAAAGCGTTTAATCACCGTGACCGGCTCTTATCCAAATGCGGATGCGCGTGCATCGCATGCAAATATGTACATGGTGTATGAGTAGAGAGCGAGTAAGTATAGCTGGGGCTGCAGCCGTTGGAGGTTTAGTGTGCCTGTCCCCCCATGTATGCGACTGTGAAGTTTCCAGCAATCGGCGGATGCTGTGTGGACATTGGACGGGGGCTTGGCAGGTACTAGTTGTTCCCCACTGACAACCTATCACTTCACCCCGACACCAGGCGTACCACTTGCACACACACTGCCGTGCCGGCTCACTTGCCCAACAACGACAATGCAATCAATCAATCAATCAATTTGAACAGTACTTGACACAATCTCGTATACAATGACAAGGGGGTATCATATTTCTCTCGTTCTCTCATCGTCAAACAGGCCGGCTATAGTGCAGCGTGATGCTGCAAAGTATAGCTCTATGTACATATAGTTGGCTTGGCGCTCAATGCGCCCATGTCCTCCCTGTCTCGTGCAGATGCAGATAGCAGCAACCAGATATTGG